TGAAACATGTTTAGAGAAATGATTGATAGGCATGGTGCTTATTAATTATTATAGGTGTTGTTTATCAAATATTATTGATTACAATTCTTTTTATTGCGAGATGTATTCCAGTGTCACAATTTGCTATCAAAAAAACCTCGCAATCGAAACCCGGCCTATGGTATAAAATCAATTTTTGCCGATTTTAATTTCAAGGATTTAGAAAAAACAAACTCTGTGAACATTTTCCGCTAAACGGTTGCAAGTTGATTTCTAAATTTTGCGATACTTTTTTGCTGTACCAATTTTTTCATTTTTGCATAAGCAATGCATGGAATTGTTTTAAATACCCAAGTTATATGCTTACTTACCGTAGTGTGCCTTTCTTTTGAGGGCTATAGTTTTAATGGATTATCATTTTCTGGATAATTTTTGCAAAAATACACTGTCTGCCATCTTGTACCATTTCAAGACAATAATAAATTCCTGAATTTTAAAGAAAATTGCAAAAATTTACAGCCCTCAAAAAAGCACCCTACAGTACCTTACATGCAATTCTTGCTTTGTTTCTGACCTGTTACGGTGCTTTGTGTAGTAAGCTCTGGCATAGGACCTGTTTTTGATATAGAAACTTGCATTTCTTTTCTATTATCATAAACATTAAACAATTGTTTCAGTGACCTGGTGGTGTAGCCCCCTGGTCATTGCTAAAATTGATTTCACCCACATGCGATGTTTGTATATACAATTGGATAAAAAATTTCTATTAAATAAGAAAAAGTAGGGTTGTCAAAAAGAAAAGAAAAAAGGGGGTTGAGTTCAACCATAATCATTAATTGTTCAATTAATAATGATAAACATTAATTAATAAAAAAAAATTCATAAAAATAGTACAAAGATTTCAAACTCTATATTGCAGATAATAATAATAGGCAGAAATAGAACTTTAATAATATTTATGCGTTTGTACCTATTGATAGCTCTACTACATTTCTATGATGTAAATTAATTACCTTGTTAAATATAAATTTAACTTTTAAGCTAGTATTGATTGAATAAATTATTGTCATCACAATTAAAACATCTAAATTCTAGACAATTACTTGGCTATTGCATTCTTTAACGTTTATGATTGAGTACAATATCTAAGAATTAAAATATTAATGCATAAGAATTGTAATTGGACTCACCACAGTTGTGGAGGCTGAAACTAAGAATTTTTCATTATTTCATTAAATTTTGTCATTTTAAAGGAAACGATACTCCTTCATAAAATTCTGCGAAGTAGGGTATTAAATCTTTGTACTATTTTTATGAATTATTATTTTTTATTAATTAACGTTTATCATTATTAATTGAAGTATTTATTATAATTATGGTTGAACTCAAGCCCCTTGTTTCTTTATTTTTTGACAACCCTACTTTTTCTTTTTAAAAAAATTTTTTATTTACTTGTTTCCATACTTTTTATTAAATTTAATTAATTAATAATTATTTTTATTAATAATTAAAAATAATTAATAATTTCTAAATTTAATATTTAATAATTAATAATTATTATTGTTGTTAATATTGTTGATAAAAATTTATAATAATTTATGACAATTTTATTTGTTTGAATTAATGAATCATTAATTACATTCATAGCCTAGCTCATAATTATTCAAGTAAGAATCCTTTTTAACGACCTGGGGGCGTAGCCCCCAGGTCATTTCTATAATTGGTTTCACCCACGTGCGATGTTTGTATATATATATATATATATATTGGTATGTCCACACTTACATTTCTTCTATACATGTTGTATTGGAGAAATAACAAAATTCATAAGCCTTAGCAACCACCTGCCCACGCTCCTTTACGTAGTGGGTGTGGCCACGGCAAACAAAATGGCAGCTTAAACATGGGACAAGGTGAAGAGCTTTCTAACAGTAAGACAACCTAGAGATACTGTCTAAAGACTTCTCTAGAAGCATTAGAAGGTAGAAAGAACCTCTATAAGTCTTAATAAAATCCAGTTATTCTTGCAAGGTTGTGAAATCAATTAACAGGAATATTTTTTACACTGTTACGCTTGTTATTAATAATTGTAATTTTGGCCTTAGGTATCAGTTCATTACTGGAAGAAAAGAATTTTGAAATAAAAACTATAAGAAGACCTACCGCATTATAAAAACAGTTGTCATACAATTATTTTTTTTATTTTTAAATCATTAATTATATTCATAGCCTATAATTGGTCATAATTATTATTGCATATTACTAAGATCTATTTCCTGTTCTAAAACTATTTAAGTTTACATTCAGCTTCAGTTGCCATTTTTGCACTTTCACTTGCAGCTCTTAACTATTTCCGTAGTTTTGCTACATTTTTTTCTCAAAAAGCAGCAAGTCAGTTCATATACAAACTTACATTAGCTATCATTATATTTTTATAATGTTTGGTAGTATATGGACTATGATGAGTATCATGGACCACCAGAAGCAGGAGGGCCTCCACCACCACCATCACCCGGAGGCCCGCCCCACCAGCACCAGCTTTACCAGTAGCTGGATGTCCACCACCTCCAGAAGTTGGAGATGGAGGGCCTTTTCCACCACCACCTCCCGGAGGCCCGCTACCACCACCAGCTCTACCAGCAGCTGGAGGTCTGCCACCTCCAGTAGCTGGAGATGGAGGGCCTCCACCTCCATTAGACCCACCACCACCACCTCCAGCACTCCCAAAAGCTGGAGGCCCGCCGGTGCTCCTTCCTGTAGTGGCCCTGTGCTCCCTCCTGGAGGAGCCGCTTCTGCCCCAGGACTGCCTTTGCTGCAACAGCAAAGGCAGCACATAATTGCCCAGCTGAGGGCTGTGAGCAGACAAATAGTAAGTCTTTACTATGATGTACTTAATTCCATTATAGTATGCCAATCTACCAAGAAGAGCTGGTAGGGGCGGAGGAAGGGGCCGTAGGCCGAGGTCCAGAGAGGCATCAATCAAGAACTATGACTTTTATTAACTACATGTACTTAAAAAACTTGTCACTATAATAATAATGTTAAAAGTAATCAAACTGTCATTTAAAAATACATCAGCGTAAAGCCAGGATGAAAATACATTAGCAATGCCAAGTGTTTGACAACACATAAATGCTTATTCCCATTAGTTTCTTTCAATATTTCTAGATGAAAAATTCACATTATCATAATGCATGATTTAAAAAAATTAATTTTACCTAATAGTCATTATTATGGACATACTGAATACGTACACAAACAAGCACAGTGCCGTCGTCATTCATAATCCACAAAAGTAAATTTAAATATAGAATTCCAACATTAATTTTTTAATACTAACTGTAAATCCAAGGATATTAAAGTAAATGAAGGAAAGTAAAAAAAATACGTATCGTGGCCATAGTTAATCAGATGATCAATATTAATCATCGAAAAGAATTATAGCCTTCGATCATGATCTATTACATAATAATAAAAAACTATGGAATCACAATATTCTCTCTTACTATGTATTCAATTGCTAAGACTATGACAATATGACCTGGAAACTGGTGCCTCATCCAGTGTGAAAGCACCACTGATCAAAGGGATACAAAAATATTATGTTACAATAATGTTTATTTATTAGAAATTAATTATGTTACAACAAACGAAATCAGACAATAATCTTAGACATTTACCATGCTATGAAAGTATAGCATTACACCTTATTGCAGAATCATTAAATCATTTGCAGCTGTAAATACCTTAAATCAAAGTAAGAAACATCATCAACAGCAAGAAATGTAAGCACACAAGATATTTACATGTACATACATATGCATGCTGTAACTTATGCATGTCACAAACATACATTACAAACCACTATAACTATACATCTGCTCACAAAGAGGAACAACCCTTCACCTTTTATATCTCTTTCCAAGTCTGACCTTATTCTCAGTGCATTGAAGTCCTTGTGTAAAATATGTACCTGTGTAAATTATGAATGTGAAAATATACAACATGTAGTAACAAATTGACAGTAGCATACATGCATTTATCAACAATTAATATACATATATGACATGTATAGCTCCACAATGCATATTAAGCTATGATTGACACATACAAGTAAATGTACATACCCTGTACATGTAATTTAGACATACACCATTCAATTTGGTGACTCATGCCATCCTGAATTAAGTTTCTTTTACAAGACCTGCATTGTGCAAATACACATTAATCAACCACGTGAATACATTACAATGTGCAAAAAATTATTTTTGTATTGTTAGTGAGAACATGCAGCCACAGTTGCACACTAGAAAAGATGCATTGGCAAGCATTTATTTATATTGAGTAAAGAAAGGCCATAATTAATGATATAATCATCAAACAAGTATACAGTATGTAACCTAGAATCATAACCTATAACAAAATACATAAGACAACTCACAATACAATCCATCTTGCAACATATTCCATTGCTAAGACTACAATAATATAAAACCCTTACAGATATAAATTGGCAACTGTTACCGCATGATACAACTACTGACCAAAGGGCTGCAACAAAATATTAAGTTACACTTAATAAAGAAATTAAATTAGATACAGCAATATAAATCCAGAATTGCCTTTAATTATACTACACATTCCAATATCAAGAAAAGTATTGCTAAATCAGCAAATCATTTCCAGCTGCAATTACCTGTAAAGCATAGTCATAGAAACGTATCAAAGGTAAGCAATGTAAACTCAAAGGCTAAAAATAATAGCACAAACAGTAATGGTGAACAAATTTCATTACACATGACATCAAACCTGACTACTAAATACTACATTGTAGTCCTTGTGCCAAGCAAGTACCTGTAAAAAATATGAACGTGACATAGCAACTAATACTTTTGATAATGGTAGCATCTACAATGTTTCTGATTGGATCATACATGTATGTGCGTGCATGTATTATAGACATAATATAGCTTACTAATGCTATCCTCAGTTACGATACTTTCATGACCTGCTTCATATACAATAACATTGTGTACATGAAGAATTTCCAATGTGCAAACAATATTCTTTTGTTAATGAGAACATGCACATGTTACAATAATCGTAAATAAAAGATGCGCAACATCAGCTGGCAAGCATTTCATATGAGCACAGCATTGATGGCAGCATCATTCGAATGCACAACATCAGCTGGCAAGCATTAGCTTAAAGGGTAACTTAACCCAAAATTTTTTTTTCCTAAAATGAATTGGCAATAAAGAAAAAATAATGGGAAAATAGCTAAAATTATAAAAAAGCAGTATTTTCATGCAAAATCTTAGCTCAAAAGTTGTGATTTGCTTCCTGTCAGCCATTTTGTCAAAAACACTTCCGGTAGTGGGCGTGGTCACGTGATGATGTACATGGGGAACACAAGCTTGCATGCAGTCAGCTGTAGGTATGGGGAAGAGATGTGTAGTAGCTAACTGTAGTCATTCTCACAAGGATGGAGTCAGTCTATTTGCTTTTCCTAAGGATCCACACATGAGAGCTATTTGGAACAGGCAAATTAAAACTACAAGAGCAGATTGGCATTTTCCATCAGAATATTCTTGTGTCTGTAGTAGCCATTCTACTAAAGACTGTTTTCAGTCACTGTCAGTAGTTTCAGGTACAACACATTAAAGATATATATATCATTATTATGATACTATTGCATTTAGGCAAATTAGGATTAAAAAGAAAGCAGCTACTCAAGCCAGAAGCAGTACCAACCATTCTCCCTGCTGTATCAGTACAAAGACATTGAGCTAGACCAAGAAGGACATCAGTTGCTTTTGAAAAGAGAGAACACTCCAGATTAAGTCTTATAAACTTCCTATTAAAATAATTATTACAATATAGATTTTAAGTGAATGTATTCCATCAACAAGTGCAAGCAGTGGAGTTTCAGATCAATCAGATGAGACACTCAGTGTAACAGTAGCTGATCATAATGATGCAATGGAAGATGACATAATTTTGAGCAAAGAAACGCAAACTGACAGACACAATAATGATGTAAAGATTCAGGCAATTATTAGACCTCAGTGTACTAAACGTCAGATTACATCAAATTATAGTACACAAATTATTCTTCATTTACAATAATAGGTATACAAGTGGAACTTGTGAAGAATGACATTGGTATACAATGTATGTTGTTGCCAGATATGTGTGACTGTGAAGTTCAATGTGATCTCTTACTGCCTCAAGAGTCATCTATCTACGGTGATACTAGTTATGATGATTTGTCATCTGATGAAAGTGAAGATCTGTCAGATTCAGATGCAATGAATGATTCTTATGAAGCAACCACTTTAAATTCCTCTGATGATGAAGATACAATGCATGTGCTAAGCTGTGAAACCTGTTCATTATTATACACTTTTTATTAGGTATGATGAAAGTGTTAGTAACCCAATATATCAAAAAAAGTTCATTGTTTTTGCATCTAACCTTCTCTCTCTCTTTTTAAATTGTTTCATGTGTCATTGTCCAGCAGAAGTCTCATCAGAAACAATAGGCACTTTCTTGCGAGTCAAGCTATTTTGTCCATCATGCTTGTTTAATTATGTATGGGAGAGCCAGCCTTTAATTGGTGACATGCCAGCGGGAAATCTGGCATTAAGTACAGCTATTCTTTGTAGCGGATCTTTGCCATCAAAAGTGATCCAGATGTTTCGTTTTATGAACTGTGAAACCATTTCTGATACTACATTAATTATCAAAGCAAGTATTTACATCCAGCCATATCAATGACATGGGAAAAACATCAACAGGAAATCTTGTCTTCATTTAAAACGGAAAAGAATGCTCTAACTATAGGTAGAGATGCCAGATGTGATAGCCCAGGCTACTGTGCTAAATTTGGTTCCTATACTTTGCTTGAACTGAAATATAATGTTATCATTGATGTTGAGTTAGTACAGGTTAGCTGAAGAAGTAATAGCTACCATGTTGTACATGTACTTCTTTAATTTTTTATAGAGTAATGAGGTTCAAAGTAGCTCACATATGGAAAAAGAGGGACTTGTCCGTGGCATAAAATTTATTACAGATCATGGCTTGCAAGTAGAAAGCCTCATTACTGATCGACATAATCAAGTAACAAAATGGGTTCGGGAAAATATGGTAAACACTTCTCACAAATATGACATATGGCATGTGGCAAAAGGTAATATTGTTCTGTTACTTTATTTGCAAATATTTTATTCTTAATAGAATTTAAAAAGAAAATAGAGGCACTCTCTAAAACAAAAGATTGTAAAATTGTGGGAGAGTGGTCACGCAGTATGATCAACCATCTGTATTGGTCAGTTACATCTAGTAATGGCAACATGGAAGAGATCAGAGAGAAGTGGTTATCCTTGGCAAGACATGTTCATAATAAGCATACGGGACACGGACAAATCTATAAAAAATGCTCACATAAAAAAATTAAAAAGAAATGGTTCATACCTAGTAAGACTATAATTAAATGGCAACAATAATTACTAGTATATTTTTTTACACAATAGATACAAAAGCTAGTGATAAGCTTATAGATGTAATCAAAAGCTAGTATTTGATCAACAGTATTACAAATGCATCACACACATATCAAACCTTAACACTAGAGGCATTTCATAGCCTAGTTCTTCATTATGCTCCTAAACATACTGCATTCTCATATCAAGGAATGTTGTCAAGGTATTCATAATAATAATATAAAAATAAAGAATGCTGCCAAACTTAATAGGTTGCAGTTAGCAGCACTTCATTATAATTGTAACAAGGATCGAAAGCAGGCTATAAGCAAGTATGGAACAGAGCGATACAGTATTCAATATCCAAAGTACAAAAAAGGTGGATACATAGTTAGACAAATCAAGAGTAAAAAGAAATATGGTAAATATCTAATTTTACATTATTATTTGTGAGGTCATTGTTACCTTTTTACAGGTTACGTAACAACTGTATCAGATGCAGTACACAAGATGGTATTAGAAAATATCACCAAAGTAAAACGTGCAGTACCACCTCCACTAAACAGTACTTACGAAAAGCCAAACAAAGATGATGCGATTATAGAGCATAAAAGTCGATTTATTACATAATAAATTACAATTC